GACTGTACTGTTAGACTTTATCATTTATAACCAAGGCTTATTCTGAGGTATTATCTAAAGTACTGCTGAAATGTGCAATACACGACGTCTTCGAATAATTTGTGTTATGAAACATGTCGAATTATGTTCATATAGATGACTGCGAAATCGAAGCGCGCGATTGGTCTAAACGGATCACGTGACCGAATATTTCCCAGCTAAAACTGGGGAATATCCGGATGTTCCCCAATTTTCAAACCGCGCGCGTTGCCAAAAATATTTGAAGGATAATAAACACAAAAGCTTCCATTTGGCATGAAAATATGATCACATATTTGTCCTTGGACTTTATCTGTTCCTCAAAGCTCATTATCTGTTCGCTTCTCGGAACAGATAATGTCCGCAGACAAATATCCTAGCATAGTTTCGCGCCAAATGGAGACTATTGTCAAGTTATTCCCCTACTTCACGTTATTTTGCTCACTATGAAGACAATTTTTACAATAACTGTCTAATTTCTCGGGCGTTGATTGGCTCATTTTTATCATCCGTAAGAGTACAAACGGATAAAATTTTAATTCATGCAAGCTTCCAACAGTTCAACGTTCAGTTGTCAAACCGTCAACTTTTTAACCAATGGGATTTTATAGACTTTCTTAAGTAGCCAATCAAAAAGCGAGAAAAGCTATTGACAATGTTCGCGTCCTTTTGAATAAAATTCACTTAGCTTTGTTTAAAGCAAGTTTACGGCGTCTTTTCCCCTCATTTCTTCCCGGCATTTGACCACTTTTGGGTCTTGTTATTGTAAAAAGCAAATTGACGTCAGTTTTTTATGCGTCTGTCCTCTTATTGGTGATAAATCTCGTCATAACATTGTCAAAGTTTACTGCGGAACCACTCGCCTGGGGCTCGTGGTTCTAGAGCCACTTTACAATGTTATGATGTAATTTATCATCAGTAAGAGGACAGACGCATAAAAAACTGACGTCAATTTGTTAAATTTACAATCCCTATACTACGGAGAGCTGTTTATTAGAAAACACAAATCAAAAGAAAGAGAAGTCAATTTCGGATCTCGTAGTTATAACCTATGAAGAGGCGTTATGTCAACATATTCAAGGGCATACACAAACAGCACATCAACAAAAGGAGAAGGAAAAATTAAAAGAAAATCGCAGAAAGTCAAATGAAAGAAAGAGGAAGCGGACTGAAAACAACGTCCAACGTTATTTTAAAGCAGAAGAAAAGTTTTTTAATTAATTTGTATCCTGTCTACTATGCTTGTTCTATAACACTTTTTTAACATTATTGGCATGGGTCGCACTTGGGCAAAGTTTTCATCTTTGCCGAGCAAAAAGCCACAGAAAATTTAAAACCGCAACCGGAAAGCAAAAACTCGCGTCAAACTGAGTAGGGTCGCACTGGGTTAGAATAGTGTCTGTGTTGACAACTGAAGTAGACCAGATATACGTTTATTCACATGTTGTCGGAAGACAGGAGCTTTTAAAAACTCCAAAGAAAAACCCGATACTGATACTTCTGCTTTTCGTTCGGTTAAATCGGCAGAATTTTCTTGTCTTTCGTATGATGTATGAAAGATGGGTTAACGAATGTCCAACTGTTTCGACTGCCACTACTGGTGAAAGCAAGAAATCGACATCAGCGAAGAATAATATGCCTGGTCATTTCCTTGTCCAGTAGAGTCCTGGTTCGATCTTCAGTGCTACGATCCAACGATGCCCTAGAATGTTTTAATCAGCAGCTTCGTGTGACAAGAAATACTTTTAACCGCATTTTGAACATGATGGGCCACCGTTTTGTACCTCAACAATCGCGTTTTAGAGATCTATAACCATACATTAAAAATAAAATACATTAGGACTCTATCGCCTGGGTCACGGAAACTCATATGTAAGCATTGGGCCGCCGAAAAAAGTGGGGAACTACGACGGATTGTAATGGTTGTAAAATCCACGACATGACAAAGAATAAGCGCGAACTGAAGATAAATCGCGCGCTTTTTTAATATCATCACTGTTAAATGAACGGCCCCTAATGTGAGTCCGTGTTAGTAACCTGTGTCCCGGTGCAGTCAATCAATATGATCAGTCTATTTGACTTGTGTACAGCTGACCGCGTTTTCAACCTCCCCTGAACTGGCCGACCAGTGGGAGTTGTGAAAATCTTTTAACACCCACACAGACACACAAATATGCTTTCGAATGTCTAAACGATTTGCCAAAGAGAAACTTCACCTCAACTTCTACACTACTGATTTTGGTACACAAGCGACTGCGAAAGCTTTATGTAGTGGTCAGCGGATGCATTAAAAAGTTAGCATGAATCGATGGAAGGAAGGAAGGAAGGAAGGAAGGAGCGAGTGAAGGAGTGAAAGTCAATGTCCTACTTAAACTCAGAAAATGACATTTTCTGAGTAAAAAGAGTAATTAAGAGGCCCTGCGCCTAAGAAACGACCGA